AACCCACATGCGTATCGGCCGATGCCGATACAAGTAAAAAACTCAAATATCGGCCCGATATATCGGCCAGCCGATATATCGGTCTATCCTTAATATTGTAGGGACCCTAAATTTGTTCAAATAAAAGTTGATGTGGCTTCAGGATAGAGAGTTGGTGTCTTTATCTGAGCGAGGCGAAGGAAGCAGTGAGTGTGTTTTAGCTTGTTTGGCCCACCTTCCTCTCAGATAGATCAAGTGATAAATATTTCATCATCTGAGTCTGAACCTGATCTCAATATACACTGTAAAAACATACTTCTTAAATATTTGTTTAGCCTATATTCAGTAGATAAGAAAATAACAGAGTAATAGGATGTTTTCAAAGATTTACAGTGCAGCTCAACATTGACTATGACTGGATAAAGCTGTGCACAACAACATTTAATACACATTAGTACAGTTTTTGATATCCAGTATCGAGTTTATAATTGAAGTTTATTTCAACCACCTTAATGTCACATAACTTGTCAGTAGTTTTTGCAGTGTTCTTACGCACATCCACAGTTTGCTGCGTTTCATTAATCCTGCTGCTTGAGAAGCATCTCTGGAGCCAACAACACAAACCGCTCAGCAGTATTTCAGTGTGGTGATCCTGCTCGTTCTCAGCCGCCTGCCAGCCGTTTGAAGCCGATTTCCAACAGTGCGGGCCAAGCGCCAAACCCAACTGCAATGTTCAAAATGTGGAATGAGAAAAATGTTTCAACTGTCACATAAATTAATGACATTTTATTTCTCATGAGAACATTGGATCCAGCTCTGGATGTTGGCGCTGTGCTGGACTCAGAAAACGTATTTATTTTATATTTCAGGTTATCCCAAAGTGTAAATGTACATCTTTACCTTGTGTTTTTTTTTCACCCAATTGAAAACATATCTACGAGAAAGTATGCTTTCATTTGTTTAAAGAAATAAGATGGACTGCCATGACTTGAGCAAACAGTTGAAGCTGGTGAATTTGGACAGGCAGGGAGGCTTGGCCCAGCATTGTCATGCTTTCATTAGCAGGTGATTTGGCTGTCGCGTGACATTTAGCCGACCCTGCTGTGCCGCTGAGAGATTATCGGCCTCCTCGGGTGTCAGTAATGTGATCCAGGCTGTCGCCAACACATTCCTGATGACCACAAACTCTCACCAGCCGCTGTCCGACCTTGACAAAACAGTGAAAGGAGTTTTGTTTGAAATGTGTTCATATTTTGAGCATCAAACCTTCTGCTGTGGAGTTTAGAGGGGTGTGTTTAAGGCAGGGAGTTTGAATATTTCTCTGAGGAAGTTTTGGAATATCATGAAAGTTTGCATCTGGACATCTTTCCATCGACACGTAGGAGCAGAACATGTTTGCTGACTTGTGTCACAAGTTTGTTGCAGCAGCTCAGCTGGAGTAGAATCCAAAACAAGCTAGTGAAGAAGGAGATCTTTAGTGTGTAAACTCAGGGCTGTTGATGTTAATATGCAGTCATTTGTTCCCCTTTTATTTGTTAGTCGTCATGACATCTTGCCTTTTTGCATTATATGTGGCAAAGCTGACATAAAGATTTTAAGATTAAGAAAACAATATTTAAACATGCATCACTGCTGCCAAAAAAACAGTGAAAATGAAGAAACATAGTGAATAACTTTTCCACAAGAGAATGCCCAAAAACAGCTTGACCAATGTTCCAAATTGTTTTGACATGTGCACTTACTCAATTCCAAACATTTACAACAATATTCAAACCCAGAGAAATCTGTAGTTTTAATCAAGGGCTGCGTCATTTAGTCACCATTGCCAGTCAGTGGCATCATAACTTCTTTGTGCATGTGTCAGTGTTGTGGTTGTCTGACAGAAACTGTCATAAACTGATTTTTTATTTAGTTTGAAGCCACATTTTATTTAGATGTTGGTCATTTTTAACTGCATGTTTTAACAGATTTTAGTCATTGGTGGCCTGGATCTTACGTTATCAAAGAAACAAGTTGAGCAAACGTTAGCGGCAGCTCGGCTCCAGTCCCTGCTGTGCCAAACTACATCGGAGAAACACTGTTTTTTGTTGTGAAACTGCTTTATTTTGTGTTTTTACAGTTAAAATGACGGGGTCAGTTTGTTTTGTATTAGAGGAGACCTCTGTGAATAATTCGGCTCCCGCTAAAACCCCTGAACAATAAACACTGAAGGAATTTAACCTAGAGAAAGTGACTGCATTGACGGCGTTGCTTCGTCTTTTGTTACTGTTTTGAGAAGAAAATGACATTTGTACGTTCATAAAATGTCAGGCAATCACAACTTCCCAGAGCCTGCGGTGATTCTGATGTCTTAATTTGTCTGACCAATGGTCCACAACCCCAGAATAAGTGTATAAGAAACACAAAAGCATCAAGATTCACATTTGAGGAGCCAGAAACAGAATGTCTGGGCCTTTTGCTTTATAGATGACTTTAATGATTGTGTGCTAATCAATCAGTTCACTAATGTAGATTTCTTAGTCTGTCTGCCGAAGATCAAAATTTCACAAAACTAAGAGCCAAAATTGCTTCATTAAAAAGGTTCATTTGTTACCCTGCGTGGTTTTAACTTTCAAACATAAAGACATTTTGCTCTTCATTGTGATCAGAGGTGTGGGCTGGCGACAACACAGAGGTGTCACATCAGCAGTTAGTTAAAGAGGAATGTTTCCTCCCTGCTGTCAGCGTGACTGTCGGCCATCTGTCGTCCTGCATGTCCGTCTGAAGACAAACTGGAGTCATAGAGTTTCTTCGGGACACTTTAATGACCACATGCAGGGGCAGTTGTTTTCTTCTCCACTGTTCACACCAGCTCAGGCATTTTGTTGGCCAACTGATCCAGCCTGCTGCTAAGAACGTCACAACATCTGCCATTTGGTGGACACGGTAGTGCAAAAGCTCTCTCAAACTAGCATGCATTTTAGTTCACTTCAGAAACAAACATGATGTATAAATATGTGAATCTGACAATAATTATTTTAATAGCTTAGACCTGTATGCACCATAAAAAGGTATGTGTATATATACATGCTTTAGGCTGCCCTTGTTTTATACAGTATATAGGCCCATTTCCACCGCAGGAACTAATTTTATGGGGCCGGGGCTGTTGGTGCGTGTCTCCACCGCAGGAACCACCCCCGAAAGACAGAGAACTTTTACAGGGGCTAAACAAGTCCCTGCCTCGGAGTAGGTACTCAGAACGGGCCCGAGAAACTCCTGGCTGGGGCTTGGGGATCACTTGGTGCTGATTGGATATACTCAAGGCGGGATGTGACGTTTTGTAATTAATGTCATAGGGGGTCCCTGCTCTGTCTCTCTTTCAGCCAAAACCTCTGAAAACCTCTGTTTTAAAACATTACAATAAGAATTAGTGAACCTGAGGCTACTATAAATAGAGCAGATTTTACAATTAAAGAAGTATTTCAATGCTGGAAAGGTGATCTTTTCACAAGACAAGACTGTTAGTGTAGTAGAAAAACACAAATACCTAGTTAACAGAGAAAAAGGGCTGTAGCATTTGCTTTTGCACGAGAAGCAGAAAACCTACAACTACCAGAATGCACTGCGACCACACCAAAACAATACGCCGAGAGTGAAAATCTGATACTACAGCTAAACAGAGCAATGAAATATGTTTCTGAAGACATTAATCATATTAAGATGAATCCTTGTTCTAATCACTAATGTGACCTGCTACAATGTAAACAAAGGTGCAAAATATTTTATGAATTTCACACATTCTTCAGTGTCTCGGTCATTTACAAACCAAACACATGCTAATTCTCACCGAGGTGAACACACTGTCTGCTTGTACTGATATGTGTCAGTAGAATCGTGTGGCGGATGCTGGTTGATGCTCTTCCATTGATCCAGCGGTGAGAACTCTTTTATCTCGTCTCCCGCTGCTGCCTTTCACAGAGAGGTCACAGGTCAGAGTTCAGGGTTGGGCAGAGAGTGGCGCCACTGGAGCTGATGGCGTCTTGCTCAAAGTCACATGATGTCATGGGGATTGAAGGTGGGGTCCTGCCCGTCTAGGGCGGTCCAGGTCTCCTCCGCTGGTTCTGCAGGATGTATTCGTTAAAGAAGCTTTGACGTTTTTGTTTTATGTTGAAATTCAGTAGAATTTTTTTTAAAAAGAAGTGGGTGTTAGTTAGTTTTCATTGATGCTGAATAAATGAAGAAGTCGAATTTTGGATATTTCCACATCCAAGTGTCATTTGGATTTCAGTTATCTCTGATGAAGATTAGTTTTGGCATTTTTGTAAACTTCATGAAGTTTCTTGACCCCCAAACAAGAGCTACATACAGCAAATTAAAAAATATAGAGAGTTGATGGTGATAAATGAGAAGGATCAAACCCGGGACCTTCTTTGTGTAGGACTGTCTGTCTAAACCCAGAGTGATCCTGAGGGGAGGCGTGGTGACGTGGCAGGGTGGTGTAAAAGCTGTGATGGATCAGCAGGAAGAGTCAATAAGTCGGTGTTGACTCAGCAGCTTTGTTTGCTGTCAAACTTGAATGGATCATAACAGGCTTCCACTGAAACTCAGCTGCTGAAAGAAAACTCTGTCTTAGTATCGTTTACTCTCTCACACGTGTGCAGAGCTTGTCATCTTCATCCTCTCTATGAATATGTTCTTTTGCTTATTGAAATAAGGGTGGCATGGTGGTGCAGTTGTTAGCATTATTGCCTCACAGCAAGAGGGTACCTGGTTCGAATACAGGGTGGGGGTGTCAGGATGGGTTTCCTCTGGGTGCTCCGGCTTCCTCCCACAGTCCAAAGACATGCAGGTTGATTGGTGACTCTAAATTGGCCGTAGATGTGAACATGAGCGTGAATGGTTGTCTGTCTCTCCTGTGATAGTCTGGCGACCTGTCCAGGGTGTACCCTGCCTCTCAAGTGCTTTCCAAAAGTCGTATCTCTCACTTTACTCTTCCTTTGGTGTCCCCTCTCAGTGTGATGTGTCTCTGTCTGTCCCTTCAGGTCTGGATGACAGCCTGCAGCAGTACATCCCGTCCTTCCAGGGGCAGCAGGTGGACGGGGAGAAGCTGCTCAGGATGTCCCACCAGGAGCTGCTGTCTCTGGGCATGTCACGGGTCGGACACCAGGAGCTGGTGCTGGAGGCCGTGGATCTGCTCTGCGCACTGGTCAGTAACCAATGACATCTTCGAACAAACTTCATCCTTGTCAGAGTCTTTCTTTAGGATGAATATCAGTGGGGTAACATCAAACTAAACCTCACAGTTCAGTATGTATGTTTGTGTATGTATAATGTTGCCATGGAGACAGTGAGTGAGCCGTGGGCTACAACTTTTTTTCAAGCCGATAATTGTGTACCTTCTAGTCAATTTACACTATGAAAAGCCACGCTGAATTAGCTATAGGCAGTTCCTGTTTGCACTGTAACCATGGAAACAGACAACTATTATTGGATTACTTATGATACTGAAGAAAAGTTAAAAACGTTATTGTTCTCAGGCAAGTGCTGCATTTATAAGCAGCGTCTTTGTTCTGTGATTTCTAATCAGATTTATGGATGTTTCAGTCAGTGCTTGAAAAACTCTAGGTTTTACAGCACCTTCATGGCGTAATGGTCCTAAGGAGGGTTATGACGCAAGATCTTAAGTCATATGAAGCATCATTTTAATCTAACAGTATGTGCATAATTTGACTCTGACACTAAGTAGAGAGACATAAAATGCTGCAGTCAGCGCAAAGGGTTAAATCATGCTTAACTCTATGTGCTCTAGAACAGCAGCCAGATCCACAGGGATGAAAACTCCTGCGGCTGGTGATAGTTTCTTTGTCTTTGTTTGAATCTGCAGTCAAAGGCTGCTTGTGTGACTCACTCTGCTACAGACTCTATCTGCAGTGTAATCACTAATGAATTCATATGTTTAATGTAGCTGTTTACAGACAAATACTGTCACATGACTTGGCTTCATCAATGTCTACGTACGGTTTTTGTCCGATCCACTGCTCTTTCTTCAACGCTGTACATTGTCCCGATGATTCTACCTGTATGGGCAGGGCACACTCGACAAGTATGATTTAGCTAACACTCAACAACCAACAAACTGCCACAGCTTTGTAGGTGAATCTCAAAGTTCTGTTCACCACACACTGAGACATAGACAGGAGTTATTCTTAGTCCTGTACCAAACCCAAACATCTGTATTCTGTTACACCCCAAATAAATATTTGAAGCAGCACAAAGCAGCTTCACACACACTGCTGACCTCAAGTTGCAGTAAGTTATCTGATTGTTTTAGACCTCAGAAGCCACCAGAAATGCTGTAACATCAGTAGCCTGCAGTCAGCATGGTGATTATACCCAGTGGACAGAGATGTGTACATGCATACACATCACAAACAACACAGCTTTTTCATGGTACATATCACCTCTCCTGCTGACAATAGCTTGAGAGCAACAACAACTTTTCTAAACGTGTGACTACGTCGAAACTGAGCATCCGGCTCATGAAGTAGCTCCGTGTCCATCACATGGTCTGATAGCATTAGTTTATACTGGTCCTGGCTCTCATGCAAGAGAATGTGCTGATGTAAATAAAATGCACTCTGTTCAATCTTTATCAGATCTGGCAACACGCCCACACTGCTGGCTTTAATACTGCTACACTGTAAAAAGAAAAAACATAATGTGCCAAAGGTTTTTGCAGAAAACTAAGTATTCGTGAATGTATTTAAAATGTTTTGTTTCATTGTTCAAACTGAAACTAAATTATGTTGAATATCACCGGATGTCCTCCTAATACATGTTAAAAACAGTACAAGCTATACTCCGTCAAACCAACTAAATTATCTGAAAATGGTCTGTCACAGATTGTCTTCAAAGAATTAAAACATGAACAACCGCATTTAAGATATAACATGGCAAAATGAAAAAAGTTCCACATTAAAAGGTGAATGAGGAATTTCACAAAATGCCCTCATGATTTTAAATGTTTTAAGTATTTGACCTCAGCTGCAGCCAACACATCCTGACAAGAGCCAAACATTTCTTGTCAAACAGCTCTTGTTCAAACCAGTAAAAGTGTTGACCTGCAGACAGAGCCCCTCAGTCAGCTGTTTATGAGCTCTGACTGTCTGTGTCACAGTGAAAAGGAGGATTTACAGTCAGCGCTGAGGTTTCATGGTGTAACTGAACTGAATGGGATCCAGCAGGCTTTTTAAATGGAGCCTGACACTCTGCTGTCACCGCTGACAAACAGTCAAAATAAAAGGAGCACAGAGACAGTTATCAGACATACTACTACTACTGTTTAAAGCTTAGTGAATCATTTATTCTTAAATCCACCATTATCAGCATTACTCCAGGGTCATTAAAGTCAGTTTATCTGACATGTGGCAGATAACTTTATTTGTTTATTACAAGGGAAATGGCTTAAAAAGTTCACTTCAAACATCTAAAGGAATCTGGACATTATGAACAGATGCAGATCACTTTAGGGAAACAGTTCCTAAAATCTTACACCCTATTTTAGGTGTAAGAATGAATGATGGTTATATGGGGCATTTTTTGCAGTGTGGGACTTGCCCAGAAGTTGTCAGTCATTTAATCAGTGTGTGAAAAATGTGCTAATGGGGTGAGATAAGTTTGTGTCTGATATGACTCAACTTGCTGCAAGTGAAACTGGTGACATTATCTTGAAATGAGGCAGATGGACTCGATCTAACGGTCCTCTGGTTCTTACTGTACTGTACAAGTAGTCAGTTCTGTACTTTACTTAAGGTCAGTGGTTCCCAACTGGTTCCAACTGGTCCAGAGTGCAGACCTGCATGTCTGTGGACCATGGCATGACACAGAATTACACTAAAATATTGCCAAATACCCTAAAGGTTAAAGGCCATGGAAACAATGACCCATAATCCTACATTAACACAATATATACTTCCAAAGGGACCAGTTTTGATTATTTACTTCACATGACAGGATTCTGTGTATGCGTTTTTAATTGTGACTACCGATTGTTGCAAATTTAATGAAGATTAATGTTCAGTTACACCTCTCTACTTCTGTCCATTCACATGCTCTCTCTTTTCAACAAACTGGGTAAATGACATTTAAATACGTTTTTTACCACGAGATAGACAGTCTTTTCATAAAACTAGGCTGTCTGTGCAGGAGAAAGATGCAAATACTTTTGAAATTGGTGCAACATAGCCAGAGAAAACAGAAAAAGGACTGTGTCATTCGCTTCTGCTCACAAGGTAGAAATCCTGCAACGACCAGAATGCACTGCGCCACAGTGGACCAATAAATGCTCCTGCTGGTAGGTGATGCAATGCAAACTCGTCCATTTGAGACAAGTGGCAACCTCTGGGGTTGAAAATTGAAGCCAATACAGAAGTGCCAAAATCTGTCTTTCTTTGAACAGCCATTAGAGGCTGGCTCCAGAAGCCAGTCAATCCCCATAGACCCCCATGTTGAGATACCCAACTTTATAGCAGAAATAAACTGTTTACAGCCTGAAACAAAAACAGTTTTTATCTCTACACCTAATTTCAACTGTACAGGATTAATTATTTTTTATAACTCACCTGTTTACTTTTTATTAAGACTCAAAGTTGTGTCCACAGGTTACCACAGTTTATTTATACTAGCCACATTGTTTAAAGCTTGTTGAAGATCATAAAAGTAAATCAGTGTTGCTCAAGTTACTGAAACTTAGTTATTAGTTACAGTTATTAGTTACTTTACCAATTATTGCATATAGCAATTAGTTATTAGAGTAAGTAACTTTTGTGCTGCCTTTAAATTTAATTATCTTTTTTAGGCACACATAATTAAATTATCTGTGTTTCAGGGGAATAGTGTGGGACAAGACAACTGTCAAATTTTATCTACAGTAACTCACATAAGTGAGTACACCCCTCCCATTTTTGCAAATATATCATTATAGCTTGTCATGGGACAACACTATAGAAATGACACTTTGATATAACTTAAAGTAGTCAGTGTACAGCTTGTATAGTAGTATAGATTTACCTTCCTCTGAAAATTACTCAAAACACAGCCATCAACATCTAAACAGCTGGCAACATAAGTGAGTACACCCCACAGTGAACATGTCCAAATTGTGCCTAAAGTGTCAATATTTTGTGTGCAAACCATTTTTATCTAGCACTGCCTTAACCCTTTTGGGCATGGAATTCACCAGAGCTCACAGGTTGCTTCAGGAATCCTCTCCCACTCCTCCATGATGACATCATGATGACATTATGGAGCAGATGGATGTGAAGACACCTTGCGCTACCCCACTTTCAGCTTGAGGATGGCCCACAGGTGCACTGGTGAGTTTAGGGCTGGATACATACTTGGCCAGTCCATCACCTTCACCTTCAGCTTCCTCAGCAAGGCAGTTGTCATCTTCTAGGTGTGTTTTGGGTCATTATCATGTTGGAAAACTTGATAATGAAAACTTGCAGCTCAGTTTCTGAAGAGGGGCGATCATGCTCTGCTTGGAATTCATGTTTCCCTGAATGAACCGAGCTCCCCAGAGCCAGCAGCACTCATGCAGCCCCAAACCATGATGCTGCCACCACTATACTTGACTGTAAGCAAGGGACAGTTGTCTTGGTGCGCTTCACCAAGGTGCCATACATGCTGAAAGAGCACCAAGACAACTGTCCCTTGCTTACAGTCAAGTATAGTGGTGGCAGCATCATGGTTTGGGGTTGCATGAGTGAATTCCAAGCAGAGTATGATCGCCCCTCTTCGGAAACTGAGCCGCAATGCAGTTTACCAACATGATAATGACCCAAAACACACCTAGAAGATGACAACTGCCTTGCTGAGGAAGCTGAAAGTGAAGGTGATGGACTGGCCAAGTATGTATCCAGCCCTAAACTCACCTGTGCACCTGTGGGCCATCCTCAAGCTGAAGGTGGGGTAGCGCAAGGTGTCTTCACATCCATCTGCTCCATGATGTCATTATGGAGGAGTGGGAGAAGATTCCTGAAGCAACCTGTGAGCTCTGGTGAATTCCATGCCCAAAAGGGTTAAGGCAGTGCTAGATAATAATGGTTGGCACACAAAATATTGACACTTTAGGCACAATTTGGACATGTTCACTGTGGGGTGTACTCACTTATGTTGCCAGCTGTTTAGATGTTGATGGCTGTGTTTTGAGTAATTTTCAGAGGAAGGTAAATCTATACTACTATACAAGCTGTACACTGACTACTTTCAGTTATATCAAAGTGTCATTTCTATAGTGTTGTCCCATGACAAGATATAATGATATATTTGCAAAAATGGGAGGGGTGTACTCACTTATGTGAGATACTGTATGAATGTACCCATTATCACTATGAGGAAAAATAATGCGTTGCAAACATGATAAATTTTGATAGGCCTATTTATTGCAGCCTGGACAGGCCTTTAAAACAAACTCCACAAGTCAGTTTTCAATATTCTTTGGAGAGTAAAATGAAATAATAACTGTTTCTCAGACATTTGTCAGTAATTTTTTTTATCGCGATAAGGCCTAATGAATTGAGAGTAATAAAAGTTACTTTTATCTAATTATGAACACTGATGTTTATTCTTTAACCTTAACAGTAATTCAGTTCCTGCAAATAGACTTCTCCTCACCACTAGAGGCCTAATTTGTCCTTGATCTTAAGGAGTGAAAAATAATGTCCATATTTCCAGGAAAGCAAGTCAGAAAAAAATTCTTAAGAAGATTGACTTAGTCATTACATGTATTGTGACGTCCTAAGGTTGGGTAACAAGTGATGCACCGGACGTCCTGCGGGTCTGCAGCATTCTGAATAATGTTAACTTAGCAATAACTTACAGAAACATGGCATGCAATAGTTCACCTTCCACCTACTTTTCCCCTGCCTTTGTCTGTCTCAAACACACACACAAACACAAACACAGACACACACACTGAACAAGACAGAGGGACTGAGGGCAGCATACCTGAGCAATAGATCACTATGGGTGACACTTGATAATTACAGTGAAGAAATCTGAGGAATAGGCTGTGCTTGTCAGCTATGTTCAAGACAAAAGTAACAAGTAACGAGCCCATTTAAATTTCAGTAATTGTAATCAAGTCATTTATCTTAAAAAGTAATTAGTTACATCATTAGTTACTGCCAAATGTAGTAGAATTATAGTAATGCATTACCTTGTAACATGTTACTCCCAATGCTGCATTTAATAAATGTTGATATCACTGACTTCACAGAAATGCCAGGTCACTAAAGCGCTTCAAGTCAAACCCCAGTGTGGATGAGTATCGTGAAGGTGACTCGACTGATGCTCACTGACTTGTGAACGAAGTTAGAAAAACCTGATAAACCTTTACTCATCTGTATCAAAATCTTCTAAATTCAAGGTTCACTTACTAGCTTTTTCCAGGGCTTTTTGACCTTCTTCAGCGAATGGAACTATTGAGGGTGTCAGTATGAGATCCAAGTACAGAACTTGGACATGACATCAGACTGCACTGAATAGCTCTTTCATCAGCGGCAGCTCGAGCTCTTTAGGGAGAGTTTTCCTGTCAGACTCAATGGAAGGTCAAGGGACGTTTTTGTGGATATTTTTTGCAGCACAGAGTTGAATTTACTGCACTCTTGTGTGGAGCAGGAAACAGATGTCACCCCTCCCACCTGTCAGAAAGACCCCCCACCCTTCCCCTGACACACACACAAACACGCACACACACATTCAAACACAGTAGAGGAAGAGCCGTTGCAGTTTTGTTCCTGCAGCAGTTTCCGTTGGCTGTCAGATGATCAGTTTTCCACCTGAGACTCATTCAGTGGAGCAGGAGGCACCTTCAAACTGCCCTGCTTTATTATCTGATTTTTAAGAACAGAGTCATGCTGTTTAGATTGCTTAGTTAACAGTGGAGCCCTGCATGTAGCACAGGTATCTGAGGGCCCTTGTGTTGTAAGAAGTGCTACAGAAAAAACAAGTCTCCTTGTTACGGAGAGTTATTTCTTCAGTATTTCAGTATAAAAGGTTTTGATTTTTAATTATTTATTTGGGTACTTGGTGAACTGAAGATAGACTCACAAGTTTGTTTTGTCAGATAAACAGACAGATTCTTCCTGTGTCACTCCAACAAAGGTCTAACTAAACTAAACTTTACATATCTGATCATTTGACTTCCAAAATGATCTGAAAGTTGACCTGAAACTTGATATGACCTCTGTCAGGTGTCATGTTTTGTTAAGGTGAATGTATGTTTCTTTTTACAATACAGTCAGTCGACAGGTGTGATGTCAGGTTGGCTGCAGATGTTTTTATTGGCTCTGAGCGTCGCAATGCCTCAAACATCTGGGCTGCCCCAGGCGAGCCAGCACGTTCATGCTATCAGCTGACTGAGAGAATATTTTATAGATCTTAAAGGGCAAGTGGTAACAGAATCTGATCAGCTGCTGTTATTGATAAGTCTGAAAAACCCATCCAAAAGTTACAGTTAGGGTCAAGTTATATGTGATGCACATATGACTTCAAGTGTTGTGTGCTGTTAAAGCTCAGACATTTATTGATTGATTGGTTGTTGGAATAATTGATTAAGATTGACTGATTCATTGCGTGTTCAGAAGCCTTTTTGGTGCAGTGAACAAGCAGCGTCTTTCTTTGCTCTGTCTCTGTTTTTCTTACTATGGTGACCAAAGACCAGAGTCCTTATTGAGCATTAATTTCTGTTGATAACCGTTATTGATTATCATCAATGTTCCTGTTCACCATCACACCAGCTTACTTTGGGTTTGGATTTAGTCTGAGTGACATTGACGCAGTGTGGAATATTTTGTTTTCATCAGATCATCGCCATGGTGACTGGTTTGTAGGAATGTGCATGTGTGTTTTGGTTTTGGGGGATGGGGTGTTGTTGGTAAGGCGTCCTGAGAATGTCCTGATCAGCAACATCCCTGTGTGTGATCTATTTAAACGTTCTAAAACCAATCAAATCTTTAAGTAGTACTTTAAAATCAATTGTAAAGATTACTCGAAGCCAGAGAAGCCTGTAGGCCTAATGTTCTCCCTCTTAATTAATAATTGTGCCCACTGCAGATTTAGCACATAAGATTCTTATGTATTGATAATGCGATTGTTATTTTTAAAATGTATAGTTGTTGTATTTAAAACATGTTTGTTTTTTTAAAATTTTGGACAGAACTACGGTGTGGAAAAGGACAACCTGAAGACTCTGGTGGGGAAGATGAGAGCAGCGCATCACAACCTGAACAGCGCAGTGTCGCAGCGCAGGAAGAACCCTGCCTATCACAGCAAAATCTCTCATCAGCCCTCCAATGAGTTCCTGACTGCCGTGGTTGAGCTGATTGGAGCTGCCAAGAGCCTGCTGGCCTGGCTGGACAGGTAGACACAAACAGTCTACTGAGAGTTTGGAACAATTGATGTAGAGTTTACACTAGACTTGTGTCATCTGAATGGCCTGGGGGAGCTCTCTGATTCTCTAGGTGTGTAAGAGAAACAACAAAAGACTGTCAAAATGCACCATCCTATAACTTTCACTCTTACACACATGTTGGCTGTACGAGTGCTGGTCCTTGGTAACGTGTGTTGTCTGTCAGCTGTCAGTGCGTCTCTCTCAGTCTGCTGTTTGACTCCTTCAGGTTTTTCTTAGCTTGTATGAGCTTGAAGAACATTCCTGCTCTCTGTAGCTGCTAAACACAAACACTGACAAGTTTCTGCACTGACGCTCATAACACACCTGACACCTGTCGTGTGTCAAATCTCGCACACTCAAACACCTTCGATGTTTTGAGTTCGATGCATTTTATTAAATCTGAATGTAGGGTGAAATCCAGATCATTGAAATCTAATTAGGTTCAGATTTCTACATTTGTAAGTATTAAACAAGAACTTAAAGGTTCAGTCGAGATGTTGAATCACCTTTTGGTGGCTACGAAGGCACTGAGTCCAATCATACCCCTTTTCCAACAACATGGAACCGGTTCTGTTCTGGTTCCTACACCAAATTTTGAACTGTTTAGAGCAGCGTGGACAAAAAATAAATCAGTTGTCCTTGATGACATCAGTAGGCGTGTCATTTTCTACAGGTTGGAAAGAGAGGATGGAGTCTTGCAGATACTAGTCTTCCACATCTTTTTATCATTAGTTGTTCATGTTTGTTTTTTGGATAAAAGCAAATATCTGTAATAACAGTACAAAAGTTTGCAGGTCGCCAATGTGATCTGCCATCTTGCTACAACTGTTTATATACGTCTGTGTTTTATTGTGGTTCTGCTCAAACTGGTGTAAATGTGGGCCGGTTCGCTAGATATCACCAAGGTTCCAAAAATCTTGAACAGAGTCAGTTCAAGAACAAGAGATAATTTGGTGACATCCCATATCAGAACTAAATAAATAAGTTAAGTTTAAAATATGGTTATAATGTGTTTAAAGGTTTATAAGGGAGATTCTGACTCCTGAACTGAGTTTTACTGTTCGCTGTAATGTAGTGGCGTAGAAGTAAGAAGTAGCATAATCAAAAACTTACGTAACAGATTTAAGTACAGTACTTGAGTACATATACTTAGTTACATTCCACCATTGCTGTCTGCATACTTCTTGCTTTGACAAATGATCTTTGGTTGAGAACAGACACCAGCCTGCAGAAAGAACATTAATCACACAACCAAGTTTCATTTCAATTTGTTGGCAAGTTATTATTGGAGTTACTGTTAATTAGCAACAGCTGGTAAAACCTGCTGATGGTCATGTATGTCATTTCAACTAGGGCTGCAAATAACAATTATTCCTGATTATTCAGTTAGTTGTTTAGTCTAAAAAATGTGAGAAAATGGTAAAAAAAATAAAAATAAAAAAAAAAGTCAATCAGTGTTTCCTAAAGCCCAAGATGACATCCTCAAATATCTTGTTTTGTCCATATCTTGCTATGGACAAAACAAGATATTTGACATCCTCAAATATCTTGTTTTGTCCATAGCCTTAAATTATTCAGTTACTGTCATATAGGAGTAAAGAAAGCCGAATATATTCACATTTAAGAAAGTTAAGACTCTTTTTCCCTGGCTGAAGAATGAGGAGAGTGACACCCTGGTGGCTTGGGGCTTAAGACACTGACAATGAACCACAATGTCACCAGTTTAAATCCAGCTACTGCCTAATAAAGACATAAATTGTCCAAATGATTATTCAGTAAGACATAGCGAGGAGAATTTGAGTCTTTACCATCCACTGTTTCACCTTCAGGACATCTGCTCTTTGTATAACTTAAATACAGAGCACTATGAAACACTGCATGAGTGTGAACCTATAATATGTGTATCAATAGATCACACCCTTATCTTTTTAGTCATCGTGGTCATGTTCAAAAATAATGTCCAGTCTTAAAAAAAACTTAGACACAATGCCTGGGTGTTTGTCAGCCCAAACAGAACCTACGATCAGAGCCCAACTCTACAGACTCTTGACAGTAACAGCATAGGGTTATGGTTTTTATACAGGTCACTTCACCGTAACCAAACCAATGTTGTCTCTCTCCAGGACTCCTCTGACGAGCGCCAACGACTTCACCTCTACCAAAAGCAGAATCATCCAGCTGTGTCTGGAGCTCACCTCCACCGTCCAGAAGGTCAGTGAGGCTCAAACATCCCTCTGCTTATGTTCAGACTAAACATTCATCTCAGAATCTGATGCTGAAAAGCCTCAGATGTTTTCTGTGTGAAGCCTCTTTTGATAAAGGGACAGCAGAAACAGAAAGAAGGCCATGACTTCTCATGTTGTGACCCCCGGGCCTGTTTATTTTCAGGCTTTGATGACGATGATGATGAGCCAGATATCCTCTGTTTACATGTTCAAAGTCTATTTGATGGCGACTCCCTTGCAGATATCAGTGTTACCAAAACAAGCCGGAACAAGAGAGAGTCTTTACATTTTATCTTGATAATCTTTTGATTAGCATAATTTTTGATTTATCACCAGCATCTTCTTTTAAATATTTAAAGGAGCGCTAACCAATTTTTCCATCTATTGATCAATGAAAATATTAAATCGCTTTGTCTCTTAATAATGGCACATAGTAGCTACTTTAACTTGTGATTACATTGGCTAAACATGGCAGTAAACACGCAGCCTTTACGAGATGTTCGTTGTGTTTAACTTTACAAGTCATTTAGTGGGGAGGTGTGATTATTCTACTTGGTGTAAAATACTGTCTCCACTTTTTATGAAACAACCCAAACAAACCCCGTAAAAATAAGACCGATGATTCCAACAGAAACAAAAGAAAAAGCCCAGGTGAAATTAGGAAAGACTGTTTTCAGGACAGTTGCAGTTGGACATTTTTTACAGCGTGTCACCTCCCTGCATGCGATTGCAGAGTTTTGTTCAGCGCTGCTGAGGCGTCGCCCCGCCGCGCTGTCATGCAATCATCCTGTCAGCCCGTTTACAGGGAGCTGTTATTTCACCGACCACAGGAGGAATCCTCTCAGTGTCTCTGGGAGGCGTTCGCGGTCCCTCCCTCTGGTTTCACTCTCATGTAGGCTGTCATTTCTCAAATATTTGTTTTCCCGCTGATTCTTCTCTCTTTTTTTTTCTTTCTCTCTGTTTACCCACACTCAGTTATCTATACAAGCAGACTTCTGAGAAGGAAAGCTGTCTCATTTGATATAATGGGAAATTCTACCTCTTCTGTATCAAGCAAAACATTTATTTTTCATACAGTTTTTTTCCAGGTGTCTGTATATTAAATGTGATGTAGTACACATCTACACTACAAAAAAAGCAAAACCAAAAGTGTGTCTCTCAATAATTTCGGACTACATTATTCCTTTTAAATTCCCCTTAAAATATCTTCATAATTAGATAAAACTGTTTCCCAGTCAGTCTCCATTCTGCATGTCCCTTGTTTTCCACTAAAGCTAGAGTATATAACACTTTTAAAACCTGCACCCAGTTTGTGCCTCTCACGTAAGCTGTCATCATGACATTTAAGTCACGTTGCATCAAAGATAAATCCATGGCGATCTTTCAAGAATTGCCAAATGTCTACATTTTGGAGGCATTTCCAGAACCATCTGGATTGTAAAACAGTCAAGAGACTCTGCACAGATTTTACTCATGGAGTACAGTTTAGTTGTCATGCAGAGTTATGCTTTAGTTTGTGAAAACAGTTGTATAATGTCTCCTGTGGCTCTGAAGGAGCTTTCAGAAGTTTTTTTTTTTTTTTTTTCTTTTAGGGAAGACATATACCACTTCTGCCTACCATCTTTTTTGGAGTACCAACATGGGAAAAAAATATTTTCTATCATGCAGCTAATGAATTCATTATTTTATTCAAATAGTAAGAAGGGCCTTTGAGGTAAAAGCTTCAAAACAGCAAGACGTTTTGTAAAAGAGGAGATGAAACACTGAACAGTAGGACTGCGGTTTGTTTGACTGCATTTTCATATCTTGCCTAGGGTAAAATTCAAACTTGATATCCACTAAGATTTTGCCAGAAACTACACTGTATTTCACCATTTTGCCCGTTTCACCAGCAGGGCACAGCCATCTTACAACAAGCTAGCTGGTAACGTCATTGGGATAGTTGTTTACTGTGAACACTGACTAAAATACTGTACTTAAGACTACTTTAACTAGTGTTGATACAATGGAGTTGGAGTTTTGATGAGATACAACTTATCAGTGACAATGTTAAAAACTAATTGTCAATGCATATTAACCCAGTAAGTTTAAAAGGTTGAGTTACAGTCGTTCATAAGAGTGTAAGCATAAACACAAGGAGGCTGTAATGGCGGACTTGTGAGTGGTGACGAGAAACTAGTGACTACACAATTTCAATGTTTGGCATCTTGACATGTCATGTCCTCGACAACATTCATAGTCTCATTTATCCATTTGTGAGCAACTGCCTTTTATAAGACACATAAAGGCTTCCGAATTTATGAGTGGGGTATTTACTGACCTATTTTATGTCATAGAATAAAAACTGAAAGTTACTTATAAAACCAAAAAAAATCCAGTGACTCTGAGACAGGGGAAGCAGAAGTGCAAAAATGCCAGCTTCTCTCCGGGGTTATTCTACTTCTTCATTCCTGTAGCACTCTGTTGTCTAAATGTTGTACACTGCCAAGTATAAAAGTCCGATGGAGAATACCAAATTCCTTTAAGTTTGACTTCACGTTTCTGATGTTGACTCAAATCCAAAGTAAACCTCCATTAGTTTGAATAACATTTGTCTGCGCAGCTTCTGTTTGAAGTGAGGAAACCAGTTAAGAGTCTGTGGAGTCAAACAGTTTAATCAAATGGCTTTCTTGAATTATTTGCTGTGCTCAGAGTTTTACCTGTTTCTTTGTCTTGTCCTAACCCTCTTCAAAATAAAAGCACAAAATCAGAGGCACGCTTTAGTAACAAAACACAGCATATTATTTATTTTACGATATAGACGGCTGTTTTTCCAATAATCTTTTATCCTACATCTAAACTAGTGTTTTAAAGTAGGAGTTCCCCTACTACAAAAGCATAAGTTCTCACTTGTCTTGATTAGAAATGCAGATGTTTGGATTTTTATTTTGTATTCACGTGTTAGGGGTTTTTTTTGCAGTGACTTCCATCAGTCAGACTGTCTGTCTCTTTAATTGCAGGACTGCACTGTTTATGAGATAGAGGAGAAGATTCTGGAAGTGGTGAGTACCACTTCTCCTTTTTTCTCTGGTATGGATGTTTGGAGATGCTAATCGGAAACACACACACACACACACACACACACACATTTCCTTTTCCTGTCTGTACTGAGTGTCCTGTGGTGTCCCGTGGTGTTCAGTTTGTGTGTGTGTGTGTGTGTGTGTGTGTGTGTGTGTTCATGTGAATTTGCAGATTTATTTATTCAGCTCAGGATCCACTTCCTGTCTTAGATAAGACTTCCTGTTGGTCGTCCTGTTGTTCTCAGAATACTGAATCAGCCAATGTTAGATCACTTTCCCTCCCAACCACCTTCTAATGTGACCTCATGACCTCTGACTCCCCTCTAGTGAGACCTCAAGGCTAACTTTAGTTGCATAAATCAACACTGGTACCACTGAAACTACACCCTGGTCTAGAAAAAATGCCATCCTTGTGAGTATTCTGCAGCAGCGAAGAACCCCCCATGATGTCACAGACTGCTATATAGACAATGAATGGGAGCCTGATTTCATGGACCCACAGAATGTACCTATATAGTCCGAATCACAATGTCTATTTACAGTAACTTCTGGGGTTGAAAATCACTGCGTCACATACATAAAATGAAATGGTGCTGAGCATAAGCTGCCTCTGTTAGTTTTTAGCCACCTAAAAATGGCCCATCAAAAACAAATAATATTTAGTGTGTAAGGTAAAGCAAGGCAAATATTCAACATAAGCATACACTTAAACTGATTTTAATTTCGTTTTAGTTTTAGGTGGCTGAAATACATTTTACTGTGGCCCTGTCTACAGCAGTACATTGTTCACCATCCCTGCCGGTAGATTTTGGTTCCTCAAAGATGATAGCAAAGCAACATCAGATAGGCTGGACAACTGTGCTTAACTATATGTCTGTAAATGTTACAGTTATGGCTGAAAATGACAACAAAAATCATTAAGCTTGCAGATTGTACGCATCTCCGCAACTATAATCAACTGCCAGTTATCTACCTTTAGGCTGTTGTTGTTATACGGGATGTCGCAGTGATTCGGTCTAGACTCAGAACAGTCCCCTGGGTGCTGTCAGTGTTATCTGTAACATCTTTCCCAGTTTATTGCCTATGGAGCGGCACCAGACTTTAAACCCTATGACATCACAAATTTGAGTTTTAGGATGCTAGTTTTTGGATTTGGGAGAAATTTGTCATGTTGATAAATATTTTTGGACTTTCTTGAACCATAGAAATGTATGAATTTTGAAAATGGGCGTACTTTCCCTTTAAGTTAAAGATCTGAGTACTTATTCCAAGATTGGATATGCACCATTTTTGATTTCTGTGTATTGCTTTTCTTCTTATCCTGATTTTTATATTATTTGTCACTAAAAACTAGCATTGTAGGTCTGTTTGAGGAGCTTAAGTTGTGACACATGTTGAGGTGTTTCAGTTACGCTTTGGCTCAGTTTGTTTGTCCAGTTGACAAAAGGGGAAACACTGCAAAGATAGATAAAGGAGCAGGAGCCCTGAGAACAAATCCCCCCTCTACACACACACACACACACACACACTGTGTGGTTTCAAGGTTTGAGTCCATTTACAGTCAGTAATTAAACTGTTCTCCACCCCAGAGACAAGCATGAAATTTATAAACAAGCAATGAAAATCCCCCAAATTTTCAAATGAAAAGAAAAAGAAAGAATGAATTCTCTTGAGGAGTGTGTTTTTCTGGTTTACTTGTAATTTCCTGTTGGTTTATGTTTTCCTGATCACCTCCCTGCTTCCCATGAGACCGCAGCTCCCCCCCTGCCCTGCTGTGCTTCAGGGCTCAGTGTCTCCTCAGTGTGATGATAATACAAGGCTGTGTTCAGTTTGTGTAGGCCTCAGGCTCCAGGAAGATCCTCTTGTCTTTTGTTCAACAACAAAACCAAAAAAATACAGTTAGGCAACATTTAGAGCTTTAAGTGATGCTGCCCTGGTCTCTCAGGGGTTTGTTCTTCTATTTTTTTTCTTTTCCCTTTGTACAGAGAGTTCAGAGGTTAGGGACAGACCACTTTAATGCCACAGCAGGTAGTGACTCAGCATTCTAAACTCAGCAGAACGGACACTCGTCATCATGGGAGGTAGAAACTGGCATGAGACCACTGTGCTGCCAGTGACTTCCTCCTTTTATATAAATTCAAATGCAAAACTCTTTGGAAGATTTATTTATAAGTTTAAAATTAAACTGACTTTTGAAAAGGTGTTTGATGGCTCCCTGAGGCTGTGAAACTCACTCAGTGTACAAATAAGTGTGAAGAGTGTCAGTACAAATAGGAGTCTACTTGGTGTGTTTAATTCAAGTAAGTAGTTAGTCAGTTTTAGTTATAAGTGTTTTACAAGAGTTACAAGGTGCTATACAAATACAAATAGAAACTTTCTGTACTTGCAGCTCTAAGTTCATGTGTGCATGTGTGACATTGTTATTTTGGGGATTAAACAGTTGTTTTCATGTTGTCATGTGTGTTCCAGTCCCGAGCCTTGAACGGCGTATGCGAGAAGACAGTCCAGGCAACCTCTGACCCCTCAAAGAGTGAGATGTCCTGCCTGGAGGAGGTGCACATCACCAACGTCAAGCCTGGGGAGGGACTGGTGAGACTACAGGACGTACATCATCATTTACATTCAGACCATATCAGCGAGACATCGCTGTCAGATAAGTGCCAAGCACTGTAAAAAGAATACCCACAAACTAACCCGACTTCCCCTGGGAAATGCTAACAGGTATTTTAGTGCTTCACCATGAACCACAATCAGCACCGAGTCCAAAACAGAAACAGATGTAGGTCCAAAAAGAAAAACCACCGCTGCAGTGGGGAATTATGGAGAAACCACGTGGGGTTATTTATAGAGAAGATTCATATATGAATTCTCAAAGACTGACTTCTTTACGTGTTTTTAATCTCCCAGGGTATTTACATCAAATCCACCTACGACGGGCTTCACGTCATCACGGGAACAACAGAGAATGTGAGTGTGCTGCTGGTTCTTTATCATAACCGGTGCTTTCCGGAGTGGGATAGAGAAAAGACATTTATACAGTTTAACTTCTAATGTCAGTAAAACACTCTGATTCTGCTTTTCAGTCTCCTGCAGACAAAACCCAAAGGATTCACGCTGGAGATGAAGTCATTCAGGTCAACAAACAGACAGTGGTAAGTCAAAAGTCCAGTCTTTAAAGATGGGGTAGGACATTTTGGGAAGTCATGCTTATCTGCTTTTTTGCCGAGTGTCAGATGAAAAGATTGATACCACTTTCACTTGTCTGTACAGAAAGTATGACGCTTATACACATGAAGCTATGATAATCTGAAAAGTTCAACAGTGATAAAGGTCAAAGTCAGTTCTGAGAGACTTAAAATTAAACAAAGGCCGCAAACAAAGCACTGTGTACTCTCGAAGCAAACTCAAGAAACTGCAAGAAATTTTCCAAAATGTTGAACTGTTCCTTTAAATTAATGTTGTTGTTTTTTTTGCTTTTTGATCAATAAGCATCTTTTGACCACACTGTATGACAACAAGTACATTTTTAGTAAAGAAATCTATTACATTTTAAAGTCTTAATTCCTGCCAGCGCCCTCTACAGGCACCAGTGTTCACTACTGCTCAAGAGTTGTGGTCTGTGATTGGTCCAGGTGGGCTGGCAGTTGAAGCACCTGGTGGAAAAGCTGAGGGCGGAGTCAGGAGGCATTGCGCTGATGTTGAAGAAGAGGCCGTCTGGAATGTGTGGCGGCTTTGCACCCGCTCCGCTGAAAAACCTGCGCTGGAGGCCGCCGCTTGTACAGGTGAACTGCCCCGACTACAGATGTAAACATCCACCCTGCTCAAGTGCCACTAAAATCCTGCTGTTGGCTTCCTCTTTTATTTCCTCCACTTTTTAATCAGCATTCTTATTTCTGTGTTTTTGTCTGCCTTCCTTTCTCTCTATATGTCTTTCTGTGTGTGTGTGTGTGTGTGTGTGTGTGTGTGTGTGTGTGGTGTTTAATTTGTTGTGGAGTTCTAGGTTTAAAATCTACTGCAGCCTGTCACTGATCTAAGCACTGAACCTGCAGCAGCTGTTGGCTGGTTCACTGCATGAAAGTGAAGCAGATTGTTTCAGTAACCCTTCCTCCGGGTAAATAAAGCACCCTCTGGGGTATTCTCCTCCTGTCATCGTAGCTTTAGGTTCTGTTTTTTAGCAGCCAGTAAACACAGCAGCCACCCAGTCTGCTCCTCCGCTGTGGTGTGTGGGAACAATGGATCCCTTCTTCCCTTTTCCTGTGAAAAAAAAAAAAAAAGGATAGGAAACACTCCAAACATTGGGCTGCGTTGATGTCAGACATCTTTGGAAGGTGACTCATTCCTTACTCCACAATGTGAAGATTCGACGGCCTTTAGGGTTTTGTGTTGACAGAGGTCCAGGATGGATGTGTTTAGGAAAGATAGGAGTCTTAAATGCCGCTTAGCAGCCTGGTTCAGCCGCTAATTTAGGTTATCAAAACAGATCTGATGTCAGCCAGCCTTTACCTCACCATCACTCCTACCGTTATGTTCAAAGGTCACCTTGAATCAACGCTTACATCTCCTCTCCTTGTACTCGGCTCGGTCATCACCTTCTCATGTGAAGTTGACTGTCAGTTAATTTAAGATTTAATGTTTTTCGAATCTATAGTTCAGTTTCTTTGAAGGCTCAATAATTTCCTAAAACAGCTGGTCACTGTTGTTGGGGACTATTTTGAGCGGTAGATCAATCCACATTTGCAGCTCTAGTAAGTATTTGGGGCAGCAGGACGATGTGTGTATGCAGTGTGTTTGTGTTAATGGTAATAAGAATAGATCTTTAATGAGCAGAGGAACGTGTTTGCAGCTGCATCTTAAACTCCCTCGGATGTGTTTTTGAAGCACAGACGAAGCAGAAAAGGAGCTGAGTGAAGTTCCTGTGTTTATGGAGGAACCGAAGCTTTGGAGGCGAGGAAGGAAACAGAAGAGCTTTGTCTGCTATTTCTCGTCTCGAGCTGGAACGTCTTAGTGTTGTTTTATGATAAACACCATTAAAGGAATCATTACCTCCTCTGCAGTGTGACAGAAACTGTGCTCAACACTCTTCAGACCACAGAAACACTGATTAGAAATATATACAGCAGGGAAACGTGTGGAACAATGCTTGTGTTTCCATAATTAAAGTTATACTCAGTGCTTCTATTTCTCTTGTTGTGTCCAGACGTCTCAGGGAGCTCCGGGTCTCTACAGATCTCGACAGCCAGAAACCTCAGACGCTCCTGGGAAGAGAGGGAAAACAACCATATTGGATTTGTACGTCCCTCCTCCCCCTGCAGCACCTTACATAGCACTGTGAGTGTCACACTGATTCATCAGGTCACTGATTACAGTATCACAGTCCTGGTGATGAAATACAACCAGTGATTCCTATTGGGGTGGAGAAGACGTGTTGCAGTGAGTTTTAATCCTTTCTGTCCTGTTTTGCCCCTCTGTGTAGAGACGGGAACACCAACGTGTCTCCAGGTGTGAAATTGAGACCAAGGTCTCCAAATTCATGTCTGGACGTGGATGCACGGCGACGCTTCACTGTTACAGACGACTACAGGACTCCTGTCAGCCCCCCACGTGAAGTCAACCAACCAAACCCTGTGTGCCTTCGACAGCGCTCGTCCACACGCTGTAAGCACACAGACACACGCACACTCCTGTACTTACAAGGACCCTCATTAGCATAACGTCGCTATCCGGTGAAAAACACGTATCTCCACTTTTGACGATTTTGACTTTCTACAGTGCATGGATTGTCCATAATATTCCCTAGCAACCGTTAGCGTTGGGTATCCAAATGGCCAATGGAAAGACTTTTTATTACATCATCTATTCCACAAGTGTCTCCACTGAGTGTCAGAAGAGCGTAGAAAGTCAAAATCGCAAAAAATGGAGATACATGTTTTTCATCTGACAGCGACGATAAAATATTCTCAGAAAAAAAGTTTTAACTCTTTGGCAGCCCTTACAAAGAAGTGAGGATGTGATCGAGTCTTGTCTGATTAATATGATGCATTTATACTGCTGTAGAATTAAGGCCTTTACAAACTGAGTCCATTTTTTTCGTCCGAAATTGTCAGACGTCACGTTGTGTCAATCATGTTTGCACTCTGAGTCCAAAACCTTTTGTTCGTCATCAAAACAGAACAGGTTAAATTTTCTGCATTTTTCACATCCATCGGAGCCTTTAGAGACGTTTGACCAAGAATCAGTGAAGAAAATATGGCGGCGGGACACAGCCTTGACAAGACAAAGGAACGGGGTGCACAGAAAGAAATGTGTATTTTCCAATATGTTGAAGTATTTCTTTAAATTCAAGCATTAAAATAATCAGATGTAAAGTCTTAATCACTACGAACTGACGGTAGTTGACAGACAAGATTAAAAGATCAAACTTTGTTGTTCCCTGCAGCTACTGTTCAGATTAATGGAGGCAGATATGATGCTTCATGAGTTAGAAAATAAAGATAAAGTTGCTTTTATCAATATGTGTTTAACTTTTGTTGTGTATTTGCTGTTTGCAGGTAAACCTCGACCTGTCTCCATGCCAGTGGAGTCGTTTTCAGCCGACCCGTTCTCCAGACCCGGGGCTCAGGGAAGGAAAGGTGAGCTCCACCTGTCGCCTGTAATCTAACCGTTATCAGCAACGTGTCGCCTGTCTGCCTCATTAACAGCCGGGGACAAACTGCGGCAGGACTGGCTGCGTGCTTTGAATTTTTACCTTGTGGATTATTAACCAAGAGAGCCGCAGCTGCATCGACACAGTTCAGCAGCACTTCACCTTCAGAAACCAACTGTGTGCGTCTGAACGTGTGTGTGTTGGCAGTTTGTCCAAGATAGTAGGCTGTTAATGGAAGTCAGAGCAGTTAAACAAAGACACATTAGAGGTGGAACGTTTTCCACTGAGACTAACAATAGCATTAACTCACCTGCCGTCAGCTGTGTCGTGTTTCGTGTTGAGTCATTTACATGTGACTTCACCTTTATAACAGTCATCCTGAAATGTTCTCAATGTTCTGCAGAATAGTTAAAACCAGTAGAGCAGCAGATAAAAGAAAAAGGACAGAGGCATTGTTCGCTTATTGCTCCCGTCTGATTTCCTCAACAGGGCAGGACATCCTGCACAGATATCTGAGTAACGAGGGAATCAGCACCATCACAGAGGAGGAGCCATGTTACCCTCTGCCGTACCGAGGACACCCGTCTGTCCGAGGAGTCGACCACATCAGAGGCAGCCAGTGCTTCATCAATGCCAATCTGCACAACAGCGCCACCATTCCTTACCAGGAAGCAGCATCCAAGAAGTCTGCTGCCTCCACCTCTGCTGCTGTCTCCCCTCCTATGGCTGTAACAAAACAGTCGACATCGCTGCTCGGAGGCTGGCTGGCTCGTCTCAGGCTGCTCAGCCACTGATGGGGTCTCAACATCAATTTTATAAGATCACTCAAATGATTCTCATCTGGCTCCTACAGGAGGTCATGTCCTCTCAGTCTGATCCTTAGAATGTCTACAAACTTATAAATGTCTGTAAATTTAAGGCATTCAGCAAATAATTGTAACAGCGAAATATAACAGGTATGAACCAAAGATTTTATGGTGGAGAAGGTCTACAAAGTCAATGCCAGATCAGAGAAGAAAAACACAACATAGCAACAGCTACTTGTTTTTCTGTATAGACCAAGACAGTTTTGTCAAAACTCCAGTCAGGTATCACCATTGACTTCATACAAGAGAGTCCATGTTGATGCTTGTCAGTTTAATTTTCCATTTAAATCATTCATAATAAAAAAAAAATTCTGTTTGTGAACCAGTTCAGGTCAACTGGAATCCAGTTCAGGACGTGATGAGTGGTTTGGTAGATACCAGTGTTCAGTTTGACCGCTTCAGTTCACCTGGTCCGGCCGCAGACTGAATGAAAACATGGACGTAGAGTCTGTGACATCAGTCACAGTACTCAGAAAAGACATTTCAAAGCCTGCCTTCATCAGTGTCAGTTAATCAGAGCTGGAAAGTCCACCTTTTCAAAGAGGAGCGAAGCAACCACCTTGGCTCAGTGTGATACATCAAGACTTGAACTCATCTGAAATAAACCTCTCTAAAAGCCTTAAAGACACTTCAGAAGAAGCGAATTTAGCTGCTGAAACCTCAACATCTTGTACATCTGGAAAATGTGGACATTTTCTTTTTGTCAATACAGCTGATAAAAAGCATGTAGAGGACTCAACAGTAGTTACGTATTTCATATTGGCTACAAAGAAGTATTAAAATATCTACACCAGTTCTGAATTTAAACCAGGTTCTAATGTATGTGAAAACTGGGAATCAGTTAATGAATATACTGTTCAATGTGGCTTTTCAAACTTTGAAAGCGACCTTTCAGTACTAAAGTTTGGACCTACTGAGCTTTCCATACAGGATGTCAAAAACAAGCAAGCAAAACATTTGGCTTGTGGATTGAAACAGAAAATAGTTACTTTTTTGTTTTGTTTTGGGTCTTTTAACCCCTCGAAAGAATACCTCATAATTTCTGTCTATGGCAGCCTTAATCTGCTGAAAATGAAGCTGGTTTTTGTTTTCAACAGATTTTGACTCCTTATCATTCCTCAAGTTTATACCACAATGTTCAATAATCAGAATTAGAATCAGTAATATCGATTCTAAACGATTCCAAAAATGTTTAGATTCAGGGTCGTAACATTCACTTGAAAAGCTCAGATTCAAAGACCAAATAATCACACTTAAGCAAATTTCAAGTTTAAAAAGGGTGAAGCATTTCTAAACATCAGAGCTGCTGCATCTTGTCTTTTCCTCTTAATCTCAGGAGCCGAACAGTGCCTCTCCTATCTGGACTTTCACTGTGGTTTGTCTGTAAATATGTTTCTTAGATTGTTTTATTTTATCGCTGCAAAGATGTGCTTTTCAGTTTATCAGAAAGTTAAAATAGAAGAAATACAAGAGCACAAAATCTTCACTAAATATTTCTGAAGCTTCACAAAAGACTTGTTACATCAGTAATAACACTGTAAACTTGTTTTTAGGAGAGACAGTTAAACAGTAGTTTAAAAATACAGTAACAAAATGCTTGAACAGTCAAAGGGAACATGGTAATATTAATAAAATTTAAATGAACACAAAGTTTACCAATTGAGTTTATTCATTAATTTTAAGACTGCTTTCCTCAAGTTATTGTCACTAAACAACTAAATTATGTCTTCCTGTAACAATTCATAATGTAAAACATTTTAATTCTGTGTCAAATTATTTTGATAGACTCAAACTGAAGAAAACATGAACCCTCACAGCAGCTGGTGAAGTTAACAGTTCAAGCTAAAGAGAAAATGTTCTCAAATTTTGCTTATGCTTTGATTTAAGAGTGAAATTTAAGTGTTAAATTCTAAAACATCATATTGTCCTTTAGAAATTTTACCTTTAATTTGTCAGCTTAAGTCTAAACGTCTAAACTTACACTTGAGTTTGTCCTGAAAACTGCTGCTCCCGTCATTGGACTTGCAAATACTTTGCAGTTCTGTTCAAAGCTGCTTAAACTTTCAGGTAAAACTAACTGATCCTCAGTATTTAAGGTGCGGCTTACTGCTCTCCAAAGAAACTTCAGTGGTTCCTCTGAAGGTTCTCTGAAGAACTCCTCAGTGTTTGATATTTCTTCACATACCATTATGAAAACCTTACTGGAGTTCTTCAGGGAACCATTTTGGATCCTCTGATGTTTACAATATGAGGAGCTCCTTACATTTCCTCAAAGATCTTTCTTTTTTGTAATGAGTGTTTCTGATTCATGTTAGGTGCCTTTATACTAACATACATTATGCAAAAGATATGAAAGCTTGTACAAAACATTATCAGAGTGAAATTGAAACTGTAAATTAAATATCACAGAGGCAACTTCTCGTGTTCTTTGCTGGATTGAATGTGGAAAAAAGCATTTGCTTAACATTTGAAGAGTTTAGATTTATGGTGTCTGAACATGACATTTCTATTTAAAGTGAGACTATGCAACTTTAAAGAGAAGATAAAAGGAAGATAAATAAAATTCAAAATAGTGTAATTTATAAACAGTAAAGAAAAAATTTAATTAATTGCACTCTGCTAAGGCCTTACTCAGTCCAGTGTGACCAGTGGTGTATGGTGGCAAAGTGTACATTGCAGTATGAATGACCTTACAGAGAAAAATCCATAATGCCCATACCCCGTAGTAACCACAGAGGACGCTGTTCAGCAGAAGTAACACAGTCTCACTTTAAGGTGAAAATTTATGGTTATATTGTTCAGGATTCTAAATTTTGCATGATCCAGATTGTGTCATTTTGCCAAACTACATGCATATTATGAATCTTTTTTGTCCTGTCAAGTATTTTGTAAGAGTTGGTTATTTTAACTGGTTCCATTCCTCATGTGTAAATCTGAATTTGTTCCATAGCTGATGCCTCTGTGATGCTTTGTAACTTCTGAAAAATATAAAAAATAAAGTGCAATTTATTTTAAAAGGTCTCAGATTTCATTCAGGTAGAAAAATGATGATCGGCCATAGCAACACAGGAGAAATTCAGTGTTTACAGAAAGACATTTGGCCCTATGATTGATCTGTAAACTATTTATTAGGCAACTTATTTTTTCTGTAGCCTACCTCTTTGCAGAAACAAGATTCAAGTCATTGTCACACAATTTATCTGAGTAACATACTCAGCCAAAATGGTCATGATACGTTTCTACTTTTTGAATTTGGAATTCTGCAAGTTACTTCCACTTATCACATCACATGTTTTTACTCAGAATTACTAATGTGCAGTTTTAAGTGTTTTCAGTATGTTTTAATAACATTTTGAGGCCCTCCTGTAACATTAAATGACTCAGGCTTCACTGTGTTTGGGTGCATATAAATCAAAAATAAGTCAACTGAGTTTTATCTAACAACCGAACATCTACTTTGTCTTAAGGTATACAATTTGTACAACATGCAACAACCTCGACCCCTACATCCCCAAGTAAACTTAAATTGTCCATGTTGCGTGTAAGACAAGCCTCAACTGTTTCATCGTCATCAAATAAGAGCTGAAATTGTATTTATTTGGCTGTAAAGTTCATCTACCGTGACTCAACTGTGTTTTGTCTTTCTAAGTCCTTTTTTAAAGTTAAAGTGCCACAGATAATAACTTAAATCCTCCCTTAGAAATCAACTCCTGAAAGTCTCAAGTATCTTAGAATAACAAGGCTGATGGTGCCACCTAGTGGACATTGTCAACTACTGTAAAGTTAAAAAAAAAAAATTCTAAATATAAGTTTTGTGAAATAATTTGAGTATTTTATTAATCAAACAAACTGATTTGCGTTTGCTAACATAAATTATTGGCCTGCAATAAAATTTGAACTTAACAGTGACCCCTTCATAATTGAAATATTAGTACATCTTCCCATATAAAGGACACATTTAGCTCCATTAGGGGGGCTGTTTTCAGTAATTTGCAGCATATCTGCAAAACTATTAGATTTTAAATGTCATCTGGGGCAAAATGAAACTATTAAGCAAAACTCACTTGTTGCTTTTTGCTGTGTCGCTGGATTTGAGGCATAAAAGATTCACACCATTCAAACATGCATGCAAGAATACTTTTTACTGCATGCTAGTTGACTGTAAATCATATTTTTTGCATAAAGAAATCTTGATTTTAAATCATTAAAAGACAGATATCTGATGCTGTTGTTTGCTGCAGACAGCCAGAGGCAGCTTGTGTGAGATCAAACAAACAGCCACTGGGGTTAGACACACTGAAACCAAACATCAGACAAAAAGATGTCACAGTCAGTGACAGCAGCTGCAGAGATGTTTTATTTCTTAGACAACAAAGTGGAAGTTTCTGTGCAGAGAGTCACAGAAAAACAGAAGAGTGCGGAGGGGTCGTGAAGAACATGTGAAACAGGAAGGATGGTGTGGGTATATACATGTATATGTCTGTGTGAGTGTGATTTTGACTTTGTGGTCTGTTTGTGGGTCGATGTATAAATTCTCACTGGCAGCTTCCTCCCATGCTGAGCATCATTCTGCTGCAAAGACGCCTCACTGCTGGACATCCAGCCTGAAGCAGGTAAGAGGGTTAGGGTTTCTGTGGTGTTTATTCTATGAGAACAAATATTAAACCTCACTTTGATGTAGGTAATGCAGTGTGGATCATCCAGAGTAACAGGGACATTGTTTCTGGACACACTAAACCACTAAAAGTATGTTGAATTATTGATTAGCAGTTCCTTTTTGCAATGTGACCATTAATATACAGACAACTATCAATGGATGACTTTAAAATGTGATGATTCTTTGGCAAGTTCTGGAGTTATGTCTTTTTTTCTCTGATTTTAAACTGATGTGTGGGTGCTTATTAGCCATGGAATTCAGAAATAATAGTATCTTCAGGGGGTGTAAGTCATACTGACTCTAAAAATGTGTGTTTCATGTATGTGTGCTCATATTTGACTCTGAGAAGACTCCAGGCTCGACTGCAGACATGAGTCGGCGGCGGGTCTCGGTCAAAGATCTGGGGGTGGTGGACTGTCAGGGCTGGCTTCTCCGAAAGAAGGAGGGCCGCAGCTTCCTGGTAAGCAAATGGAGGAGATACTGGTTCATCCTGAAGAAGACTTCTCTGTATTGGTATACCGACAAGATGGTAAGTTGTCCAAATAGTAACATGGTAGCTTCAAGTACAGTTTTGAGGTACTTGCACTCCATTTGAGTACTTTAATTTCTGCTATGCTATAATTCTACTTCACTACATTTCAGAGGCAAATATTGTACTCCACTACATTTATCTGATAACTTAAGTTCCTGAATAAGAATTCTTGTGTGGTTTTTACCTCAGAATGAGCTTTTTTATATCTACATACGGAGCAGGTCCTCTTTCACACAGTCCCCCATGTTGCACCGCCATGTCTCTACAGAAGGAAAGGACAAATCAAACACCAGCTCAAGATAGGGTCATTTGCGTTTTCTAATTTGTGCATTGGCCATTGAAGTTCTCCCACAGGCTGGGCACACAGGAGAGGCCAACTACCCCTCACTGCAATGTGCTGTTCAAGGCTTGGGTGGAGTCAAACATTTAACTCCGCCCATGTTGAGCATGTTTGACTTAGGTTGGAGATATACTTGCTTTTAACAATGTGTTGGTGTACGCATGGTGGCTGCCTCGCGTTGATTGTGCACGTCCCCAGGAACTAACCAAATGTGTCCACAAGATGTAATACCCACATGAACGGTCGAGGCAGTGTTGGCAGAACGAGAGACAGAAATCACCATTGTCAAGTTATGGTTTATACATACCATCTATGATGGTGCTGCTGTCACTCTTCTTGCAGTGATTCTTGCTGATCTAAGAGTTAACAGTACGGTAACCTCCTCAAGTGTTGCCGTGTTCATTGTTTACATCATGCATATCTGTCAGTGCTATATGGTCTAAGTTCTCTGGTGTGCCCTCTAGTGGAATCCTCCAACGTGCGCAGTGCATAGGCAATAATGTGAATAATTGCATGCACAACGCAGCTGGTTGTCAAAGCAAACGCTTGGTTAAAAACGCAAGTATATCTCCGACCTTACTCAACGACACCACCTGAAGGTGGACGAATACCTCATGAAGTATAAAATTATGAACACTGCAGCCTCGATAAACATATTACACCAGTATATTTGTAATATAATCATAACTTGTTATCATTGGCTGCATGTAAATAAATAAGGATGCAATTGTAAATTGACCTCTTGGTTTCCTGGTGGAAGAGCAGAGCACAGCGTGGGTCAGTGAGACGATAGAACTAGGCAGCTGCTAGAGAACCAGAGGGAGGGCAGGAGGCTGGCAGGGTTTGTGCCCACAGCCCTCTATCAGCTTTCCTCCAGTTCCAGTGTCCTCATACCCTTGGATGTGGAGCTGTGGACTTACGTCTGTTTTGTTTGGGATTTTGAAGGGCAGGACTTGGCGAGAAAAGTAGTAATAACGCAGAAATTCATCAAATTCAGTGCTCCATTCTGCTATTTTCCAAGCTACTGTGGTCATATAACTCAAAGATGGACCGTACTGCACCCCATGGTCCCTCCACCTCACCTCCAGATATGGGACTACTTAGCTGGGAGGAGAGCAAACAGCAGTTTTGGAGATGGGCCTTTAATTAGCGGCTCTAGCAACTCGAATTCAGCCAACACAAACCCTGACTCCCCACCAGGTCTGCAGGCTTCTGCTGCTGTCATTACAAAGGTCAGACCCAGCGCTGCCGCTGGCCACCATAATGCTCTGAACCCTAGTGCTGGGTTAGCAGGTTAGCTCTGGCTGAATTCAAGTCGCCACAGCAAGTCTGTCTCCGCCTCTCCGGATGCGCCGGCCATTCTCCTCATGGCAAAAGTGGTCTCACAGGCGGAGAGGAACCACTTGGTAGCCAGTCTCTTAGGCCATGTTTACACGAAAACAATCTGCTGAAAACGGAATCCTTTCTCATTTTCATTTTGAAAAAAGTTCCGCGCTCAGATGACAACATTTTGATAACAATTGGTGTGCACACGGATCCCCAAAAATGATCAAAAATGCTGTAGTATTTACATGCCAGGCCAGTAGTTGGTGGTGTGACTTTGTAACGAAACAACGTGTGCCTGTGCACATGCGCTTCCTTCTACAAAGCGGTGATGTATAAACAAACAAAATGGCAACTGCACGAACGTTTGTCTGGATGGACAATGAGGTGGAGTTGCTACAGTAAATGTACACTTTGCTGGAGAAGCGTTGATACATTAAATAGGATGAGCAGCACAAACAGAGCTCGGGAGTCCGCCATTGTTGTTGTGATGATTGACTTTCTCGCGCATGCCTTGTGACTGAAACCGTAATGCGCATGTGCAAAAAGTCTCCATTTTCAGAGGAACTGCATATTGCAAGTTTACAACATGACAACGGAGACGGTGCTGTTTCCAAAGAATTGCACTCTGGAACCCATTTTTAAAACGTTGCGTTTTCAGGCACCCAAAACGCAGCTGTCGTGTAAACAATCAGCCAAAATGCAACTAAAGTTTACCGTTTTCGGTTGAAATCGTTGTCGTACGATGATAGGGTTAGCAGCTACCTCACCAGCAGCTAAAGCAGTCGGAATCGCCAAATTGCTCAAGGTTTGACTCCACCTGTTTTAACAACCACCCCACTGCAGTGAGGGGCTTGGTTGCAATCTGCAACCTCACCACTAGATGCCACTAAATCTTTCATACTAGACCTTTAATAAAACATAAAACTTCATTGATTCCCAGGGGGGAAATTCACAAGCTGCCCAGCTGGCTATTAGGTAATCAAATGAGCTCCATCTTTACCAGCAATTATATAATATATATAATCGATATATATTATTCTGAAATGGGCCATTCTGCAAAATGAGTACATTAATTTTTGGTACTTTAAGTGTATTTTGATGTTCTACTATCTAATAAAATTTAGGATTTCAGGACTTTTACTTGTAATATACGAGTGTCCACATACTTTTGGCTATGACGTATCAAGTAACCTTGTACATGTATACATACATATATATGACAGGACTGGATTCAGGCACTTAGCCTCAGGGTTTTTAAAACCTTTTTTCGGCAATTATTATACTTATTTAACTTTTTTTTAAATTCTTGTCCAGCCTTTAATTGTTTAACTATACACAGCATTTATTATCAATATATATAGGGGAAATAATACTGATAACACACTAAAATGTAGGTGTAAGTAGATATAAGGACATTTTTAAGTGTGTATTACTGTAAAGTGTTTGTTAACAATCACAATTTCTCCTGTAAAGACATATTTTAGATTGTTCCAAATGTATTTAACTACATTATCTATTTATACAGCAGCTACCACTTACTGGTGGATCACAGGAAGAGTTACAGCTGTTGACACATGCATGTCTGATTACAACTACATTATGGTGTTTATCATCCACACTTGAAACCAAACACCTAAACATAAGCAGAGACTGAGATGACTGAGAGTCTTCGTAGATCACACAGGTGCTTGAGACACAGTGCGAGCACGTACAGCCTGTTTGCTAACAGTGAGGTGTTACTTGTTTTCTCTGCAGGCAGAGAAAGCAGAAGGATTCATCAACCTGTCCGGCTTCACCATCGAACAGGCCAAACAGTGCCGGAAGAAACAGTATGAAACTTTTTTATTTTTTTCTCACTGTGATACAAAACCCACGGAGTGTCTGACTCATCTGTCTGTGGTCAAACTGTGAGCTGCTGTTGACTCCTTAACACTCTGTTTGTCTAAAGCTGCACCAACACATTTACATATCCAGCTGTAACTTAAATTTAGGTGGTGCTGCAAAGCTAAAACCTTCATGGAGAAAAAAATAGAATGATTAATTTACATTTGAAATAGTTTTGCCCCAAACATTAGAAGAATTAAATGATTCAAACTTCTATTTATTTCCCACAGTGGTGCCTAACAGGAGAGAATACTGTGTGAACCAAATCAAGCTTTCATGACAGGAAGTTACAAACTTGGTAATTGTTGATTTTAATCTTATGCTAACCCTTCAGTGTTGTGTTTCAGTGCCATGACAGCCAGTCATCCACTGGTTGTGACTATTTTCATCGCTGCAGAGAGCTTCACAGACATGAATAAGTGAGTATTCAAATTTTTCTTGTTCTAAGAGACACTGGATTTATTTTTATTTCGTCTTGCAGTGCAGAAATAATTCTAACCATGCTAGCAGTGTGTTTGTCCGACGCATTGATCAGGACTGAAATATCTCAACAACTATTGAATGGATTGCCATTAAATGCAATTAAGACATTCATGTTCCCCTGAGGATGAATCGTGACAACCTTGATGATCCTCCGACTTTTCATCGAATGCCATCAACAGATTGAAATTTTGTTCAGTACTTAAATTTCTGATACACTTTGCATCTGGTGCTAAACACAGATGGGGCCCACTCACTTGAATAAAGAGCACATAATTCAAAAAAGGTTTTCAGTTCCTCTCCCACTGACTTTCAAAGGCTCTGAGAATTTTTTTTGAAAATGAAACCTCTATGGATTAAAGAAGTGCATGATACAAAAGGTGATAACTGACCTTGGTTGCAGTTGAAAGTGTCCACAGTTTTACTGACGTCTCCTTTATAATGGAGGTCTATGGATAAAATTCTATGTGTCTGTAGTACCACAGCTGGCCATTGGAACAAATTGGCAGCAAGTCCGAGTAGGTCCAGCTCTTTTAACACATCCATGGTGCTAATTAGCTAGTTGGATTGGTGACATCCTGACTTCACTGTTCATTCATGGAGCTAAAAATGTAAAGCTTGTCCTAATTGTGGCACCAGAGGAAAGGTCTTGGGTTCATACTCTGGATTGAAAATGTCCCAGAAATCTGCCCGTTAAATATTTCTTGTGTACAAGTGCTAGGTTTTGGGCAGTTGATGTTGATAGAAGAAGGGTCAGGGGTCACCAGATTTACTCTCACTGAGGACCAGACATCTATGGACATAGGCGCCTGAGCAATGGAGCAAGTGGAGCACATGCATCCCCATTATTCAGTTAAGGGGAGAAACGTTATGGTTTTGCTCCCCCACTTTTTGTCTTTTTAAGAATAAAATTATTGTCATAAAATCCCCACAATCAGGTCATTATATTTAAGCAGCCTATATGAATAATATTTTTAGTATTTACAACAACTGAAAAAAACAAGTAGCAAGAGAATGACATGTTTTTGGACCACGCTTTGAGGTGGCTGATGACACAGCTGATCGACTGATGGGAACAGCGCAGTGCGAAAGGCAGACAAACAGCTTTTTCTCACAGCACCAGTGTCTGAAATAACAAACAAATGCTCAGCAAGCGGAAAGTAACTTCTTTGTTTTAGTTTCAGTTTTAGTCAGGAGTTATTTATAAACAGGAGGACACATTGTTCCCTTTCATTATCACCAGGGGCAGATTTAGTGATCTGGGGGCCTGGGGCCCAAGGCAAATTCTATCTTTATTTTCACCCTTTACTGGGAATATCTGTAGGTTGTTGGCTGTGGTAAAAGAAGTACTCAAAACTTCTTTCTCAAGTAAAACAGTTAAAGTCAAAGACCTGCAGCCAGGAGAGATAGTATCAGCGCAATGTATTCAAATTTGTTCAAAGCAGAGCTTCTAACTCTTATGTAATGCTGGATTGTTTGATGAATTATAAAGTATCATATTTTAATTGTTATATTTTGTGTGTGAAAATCTGATTCTGCAACAAATTAACAATGGCACAATGTTTTCCTCTTAAGTACAAGTATACAGTTGCTTTTTTTTTTAAAGTGCTTTGGGAACCTTTTGTAAGTTATTTTGGGGCACAGTGAGTTAGAATAGTGACATCCTCTAATATTTTCCATATCTAAACATAATAAACTATAACTGTTAACAGGGGATAGTTATGAATTTTCTCATTTTTCTCATACAGGTTAAATAAGAGGTGCAGGTTTACTCCAAGAGTTGATTTCACAGTTGGGACCTAAACTCCTAAAGTCCTTTTTAAACAAACTGAACTCAGTCCTCTTAAAGTGCACCAAAAAGTGCACCAACAGAAAAGGGACTCAGTTGTTTTTGTGATACCACTTCATTTCAAAGATGACTCAGTCCTCTTCCTGTTCACACTATAGCTTTCGCATGGCACTGTGGTGCAGTTATGATGGCCCCTCATTTTCAGATGAACTTAGAACTGGAGTATAACCTGAGTGTTTCTGTGCTGTAGACTGCTGCTGTTTGATGTATTCTACATTCCACATCTGTACGTGCAGTATCTTCTGTGGACCAAACTACTCCTCGTCCTGCGCCCTTACAAGCGTTACAGGCCGACGTGGTTTCATCTGTTTTCTCAAGTGTCCCAGGGTAATAGCATGCAGTCTAGAGGGCAAAGAGCAAAGCGAACCTGGAGCTTTGTGTTCACAAGGCACAGGTTAAGTGAGCCGCGCTGCAGACTTGAAGCAAACCGAATGAGTTCAGTTCATTTCAGAACACATGCACAAAAAATGCTGAGTCACCACTCTGAGTCCATTTAGATTCCAATTTTGTTGAGATATCAACACAGTTATCTTCACTTCAATCCTCAGAGGACCATGAACATCAACAGCAAATGTCTTGTCAGTCAAACAGTTGTTGAGATATTTGTGCTCTTGACAAATGATCACTTTGAGCAGTTGCTCTTTCTCCTCTTATTTTTTCTCATTTGCTTGCCTACTTCTTGTTTTAAGCAGTGGTGTGAAAATGATGAGTCACTGCTGTTATTAATATATCTTTAAAGTCAGTGTGTCTGTCTGCAGATGGATCAGTAAGCTGTCAGAGGCGGCCGAGCTGTGTGAAATGATCAACACTGAAGGTCAGACAGAAGTTATAACAATTATCAATTCACATAATGAACACATGTTTTAACACAAATACTCCCACTTCTACAGCTAAATAAACTCTTAAAAACCCTCTTGGTTCAGCTGGAAAATGCATCGTCACAGAGCTGAAAACAGAGCTGTTTTTCTGACGCCTCTCCATTTTTGTTCCCTCTTTCTGTCTGTGTGCAGAGTGCTACAGCGAGGACAGCGATCAGGACGGTGACGAGTGTGTGTCGACCTGTTCTTTAAACTCTGAGCAGGAAGCAGCTGCAAATGTGAGTAACAAATTGTGAAGAGACATTTGATCAAGTCCTCCACACAGTCTGTTATAAACTCACTGTCCTTCTCACAGGGGGACGTTCTTCAGCCTCTCTGTGAGTCTTCAGCCTCTGCCTCAGTTCCACCCACTACAACGGACGCTGAAAGCAGGAGAAGAAGCACCTCAGAGGGTGCAGCTTTGAGTAGAAACAGAAGACAAAGAAGAGGGCCCTCAGAAGGCGGTAAGCGCCTGTCCTGGCTGGATCTCCCTGGGCCTGATGGAGCTGGTGGAGGGGCGTCCCTCCCTGTGCTGCAAGTCACAAAAGAAACAGAAGAGAAGGTCGTCCACGGTAATTTTACTTTTGTAAAAGATTTGAGTCCTGCTTCGACCACTGATGTGTTTGAAAAGTATATAAAGCCTGCAGTGTCTCCAAAGGGAGCAGTGTGAAGTCTGACAAATGTCCTCGAGTGATGTCACTTGGGTCTGAAGACTACAGGTTTGAAAAGTGGAACAATCTGGAGGTGTAGAAGTAGAAAGAGGGGATCTTACTAGACCTCTTTAACTCACTGCATCTCTGCTGCAGGCTAGTGTTGTGTCGTTCGCGAACGAATCGTTCAAAAGAACGAATCTTTCAAAAGAACAAATCTGTTGAGTGAACGTACTGAACGGAATCACTTCCGGAACTGATTCATTCATGTCTCAGTTCAGTTGGGCTCAGCAGCGAGCGTGCAGGCCGGGATTGGAACTGCCGATTCGGTCCGTGTGAACGATGAATCACTCACGAGTCGCCAGGCAGCCAGGGTGCAGGGATGGACTGCCTACCGCGTGACGAATCACTCAGTGAACGAATCACTCAGTGAACAACGTAACCCCGATCCCTGAGTGATTCAAATCATTTCCTCTCAGCAATACACTTTCATAGGGACCGTTTTCTCCAAGCTAACGGCTAGTGTAGCCAGGAGTCAAGCCACATAAACACAATCACACACCTCCCCATTGCTTTAACAGACTCAGTTTCCAGATAAACAAACTTAAAACTTTAGGCTGGCCAGTAATGAGACTCACCAGTGCAGGGCAGACGCAGCAGCAGCTCAGCCGTGTATCAGTTCAGTGAGTCGGACGACGCAGTACACAGTCAGGGCTCCTCCCGCCAAGCACTGAACGATTCGGTGAACGAATCTTTTGAACGAATCTTTTTAATGAACTGATTCTAGTGATTCAGTAGCATCTAAAGAACTGCTTTGCCCATCACTACTGCAGGCTGGAGCCTCCAGGACACAGCTACTAGCATAGCATAGCACACCCAAACACTCAGGGGTTGAGTTGCATTGTGGGTAATGTAAGTACTAGGTTTTGACAAGACAAAAGAATGTATGGGATACAAAAGAGACGATATCTCTGGTTCTGCTGTTTTTTATTTGTCCATCAATGAGTCCAACAATGCTATAAACAGTGGTAAATTGTAAATCAGCAGAGCACCTTTTAAAGTTACTGAGCTCTTTCTTTTTGCAGAGAAGCCACCCGATGAGATGGAGAGTCTCTACAACCACCTGAAGGCAGCCAGCTTGTCTCCAACTGGACAGTCCAGTCAGAGGGACTTCAGAGCGTCCTTCATCAGACGATGTCAGAACGAAAAGCTCAACGAAAAGCTTCACCTGCTCCGGATCCTCCGCAGCACGCTGAAGGTGAGTCAGGAGTAGTGGTGAAAGAAGTACTCAGAGTTTTACCTGAGTAAAACTAAATCATACCCAGGGTTGAAATATTGCATTACAAGCAAAGTCCTGAGCTTAAAATGTTAGTAAAACACAGAAGTATTATTAGCAAAATGTACTTAAGTATCAAAAGTCAGAGTACTCATTATGCATTTTTAAGGTGTTATATTATTTTTGGATATTATTATTCCTTTTATGGAGTATCTGGTGTTGTATTTCATCAATGTGGAGCCAGTTTTAGTTGTTAACTTTGTAAACTACTGAGTAGATTAGTAGACAGATGTAAAAGCATATATTTTTTATAATGGAAAAAGCTGCCAAATAAATGTAGTGGAGTACAACGCACAATATTTCCCTCTGAGATGTAGTAGAGTAGAAATATAAAGTAACAGAAAATTAAAATACTCAAGTAAAGCACATGTATGTTGAGACTGTACTTAAGTAAATGTGTGATCAGAGGATCATTAAGGTCATTGTATGTCTGTACAAACTCTCCGTCCTTTAGGCCAAAGAGTCGGAGCTGCTGGCGGTGGAGCAGATCCTGACCGACCCCACACTCACGGCACCCACATACAGGAAGTGGAGGACCTCTAACCCCGTCCTGCTGCAGGAGATCACTCACCGCTACCAGGCAGCAGGCGGCACTGCAGAGCTGAGGCCTCAGGCCGCTGTCACGCCAAGTTAAACACTGCTTTACGTGAGTGTTTTCAGGTTTTCCTTCAAGTCACACGTGTGACATGGAGCAGGTGACTGCAGGTGACTGTGGTGGAGCTCACTGGGTGCCGAACATGTCGCAAGTGACTGTTAATGTTTTCACTGTAATGTGATTTCCATCGAGACGGCTGTAGCAGAAAGCACATTTATGAGTACATTTACCCAAGTACTGCGCTTAAGTACAATGCTACATACTTGTACTTGATTTTTTCCAAGTTATGCTACTTTATACTTCTACTCCACTACAGTTTGGAGGCAAATATTGTACCTTTACTTTGCTATATTTATTTGATATATGACTCTGCAAAATAAGTACTTTTACTTTTGTACTCTAAGTATATTTTGATGCTAATACTTTTGTCTTTTTAAGTATGAGTTTGAATGCAGGACTTTTAATTATAAGAGTATTTCTACACTGTAATATTGATACTTCTACTTAAATAAATGACGTGAGTGCTTATTTCCATACCATCTGTCTGGGAAAACAGTTGTGTAAATGCAGTATTTTATAAGTTCACAGTGACACCTATTGTATTAACATTTATTAAAAGTTTGTTCTGTTTGCTTTCTTAACATCTTTTCACCAAATGATCAGGATCTCCAGCAAATTAAAAGATATCCTGACATGATGAAGTACTGAAGCTGTTTAAGTCGACATGAATCCATCACAGCTGATCTGTAGAGAAACATCGCCCTCCTTTGACTCTAATCAGTAAAACCATGTCCCATAAACAGATGGTTTGGTAGCTAACATTTATAAACAAATGTTTAACTGCTTTCTTTCTAATAGTATAATGAAAATGTGGAAGAACGTGCAATAAAAACTACATTAGCATAAAAACCCTTGAATTATTAAGAATCATTTATAATCTTGACTTTTGCAAGAAAATAAGAGCAATTGGTTCATTGTGTCTGACTTTATTAGCAGTTTAACGTCTCTCCTTCCCTCGTGTGACCTCTGACCTTCAGTCTTCATTGCGTCCTGCATACGTGAGACATTTTGTTCTCGCCCTGACCCTGAAAACATTAACAGCCAAATCTCTCAGCCTCAGGATTCCTGTTGCAGCAGGGTTGAACCACAGTAACCCACCCTCAGTATTTACCCTGAGCCGGCTGCAGCGCTGCTCTGGACAATAGATGCAGATAAAGGTGCCTGAGACTGGAACAATATATATTATTATTATTGTTATTATACACACAGCAGCTCAGGAAAAGGTCTGTTGGAGTTACTGCAGCTGAAAAGTCTGAAAGCACTTTGGATAAAAAAACTCAAAGCCTAGTGTAGAAAGTTTACCTTAAAAGGATTCAGTTACCCAAGTTAAACAATTGCACTCTCAATAAAATGTTCATTTCTATCATTATATTAGAGGAATTAAAACAGTGTATTTATTGTTACCCAAGTTGAATGTTTGTGTGTATTTTAATGTTACTTTTTGCAGTATAATGAAATACTATACTTTTAATATAGGCCTATTAAAAAATAATGTTTATTTACATTTTGCCATACCCAAAATTCAGTGTTGAAGAGCTACTAAGTGCTTTACTTAAGTAGAGCTTGAAGATACTTGTACTTTACATGAGTATATATGCTACATTACTACATTTCCGAGACAAATGTACTTTTTACTACATCTACTTAATGACTTTATTCTTCTTTGTTATTCTTTAATACAAAATAATCAACTACAAATTTTGATATATTGTTATAGATTAAATTACCAAGCAGTAAAATAATTAAAATTAGCCCCACTTTTACAAGGTGCACCAATAATTATAATCCAGTTATGTAATATATCCTTGATTTTGCTAAAATCAGCCATTCTTCACACCTACTTTTAAAACCCTACTTTAAGTATTATAATGCTAATATTTTACTTAAGTAAAATGTAAATGCATGACTTTTACTTGTATCACAATATGTCTACATAGGTTTGTAAAAGTTCAGACATGTCATGAGTTGCAGTTTGGGTAATGGAGTATTTCCACCAGAAGAGGGCGCCACAGAATCATTAGCTGAAATTCAACGGCAGGGACCAGACAAAGATTGTGTGTAGTGGAAAGATGACTCACTCTTCATGTGAATGTCTCGTGCTGTTTAATAGTACAACACTGCCCAAACAATGGTATCGTCATTTCTGCTATTTCTGCTATTCTAGTGTTAATTAAAGGACAACTTCGGTATTTTTCAACCTGGGCTCTATTTCCCCATGCGTCTGTGTGCGTATGATTCATGGGTACCACTCGTTCTAAAATTGGTTCAGTATTGAGCCGCCAAACGAGCTAAAACGGTAATGGGGGCAAATGCGTCCCGTATAAAAGTGCTGTTTTTTTGCCACTGACCGGTTCAGATCGCCAGTGCTATCTCTGTAGATAGCATATTGTAGCGGCCCTGGGGCAGTGGTGACTGTGAATGAGTGGAGTCAGCTGTCAGTCAGCGTTGGAGCAGAGAGGGGGAGGGCGTCCCCGCTCGGTATTGTAAATGAGTATGTGTGTATGAAGTGTGTGTTTTTTCGCCACTGACCGGTTCAGATCGCCAGTGCTATCTCTGTAAATAGCATGCTAACTTAGCCTTTCCCTTACCTCTGGGCTGTGTGATGTCACGAGCTTTGCTCCACTGTGTCTGTAGCTCTCTCTACTCGTGGGACAGCCGTTTTCTTGAAGAAGGTGTTTCGGGATTGGATGTCTTCTCTTCTTCGGCTGGCAGTAGTCATCTTGGGAGAAGTGAGCACTGGAGACCCGATGGTCTGCAAGGCACAGTGTCTGGACAGGAGTGTTAGCATCCATTTGTAGCACAACTAGCCACAGCTTCAGCATCTCGCCGTCCGACAAAGGCAGCCTATGAAAGCTGTACGGGCTGTTGCGCAACATCCTCTTCTTGCATTCGGGAAAAAGGCCTGTTTATTTGAGCACTCCAAAAACTCCGGTAACACTCCAGAGGGTAGCACGTAAAAGACTCTGTCCTCTGACTCTTCTAGTGTAACACACACTTCACACACACATACTCATTTACATTACCTCCAACACTGACTGACAGCTGACTCCACTCATTCACAGTCACCACTGCCCCAGGGCCGCTACCATATGCTATTTACAGAGATAGCACTGGCGATCTGAACCGGCCAGTGGCGGAAAAAAGCACTTTTATATGGGACGCATTTGCCCCCATTACCGTTTTAGCTCGTTTGGTGGCTCAATACTGAACCAATTTTAGAACAAGTGGTACCCATGAATCATACGCACACATACACATGGGGAAATAGAGCCCAGGTTGAAAAATACCGAAGTTGTCCTTTAACTTTTTTAAGCATTTGTCATCTTAATTAGCCTTCATCTGTGTTAGCTGACATTACGCTAACCCACAAACCCACATTCCAGTCAAAGTGCTAGCATCCATTTTAAAAACAAACCAAAAAAAACAACCAAACAAGGAAAGAATAAAATCGAATAAAACAAAATAAAACATATTTTAAAATATTTAACAGTCTTCAAAGGTATTTCAGGAATCCCAGAAGACTAGAGCGCCCCAAGGGTGATGTTTTTTCCATAGGCCAACACCAAAATTAGCATCTTACTGGTTCCCTCATTTAAAAGCCTATGGGATTTGGATTTTGGAGTCTTGCTGAAAATAAGCTCTGTGGCAAACAAATGTTTAAGATAATTTCATGTTTTGTTCTTTTATTGCTACTATCTCTGTTTAGATTAGAGAGAAGTTAACTTATAACTTGTGATAGGCTAAAGGTTACAAATCCTTTTTATTTTGAAGCTGACTATGTTTTAATCTAAATGTATATCAGAGTTTGAGGTTTCTGCAAATAACTTCAAAGACGCTGTGAAGACTATCTAGCTCTGACTTGGGGCTAGTGTTAGCTGACTATTAGCTAAATGTTAGCTTGCATTAGCTGTGGCCCAGGAAACTATAAAAGCATAATATAACATAATATAATATAGTTACCTTGGTTGTGACTTGAACATAACCTACTGATAGCTAGCTAGCTAGCTAGCTAGCTAAACTGACATTCAAGCAAAAAAGTTGAGTTGAAACTTGTTCATAATATTTAATTTCTTTATTGTTTCGTAAAACAGGAGCCAATAATAATTCCTGGTCGATTTCATACACATATTTTACAATTTCACAGCCAGTTTTCATTTTAGCTAGCTTGTTCCGTTTGGTTTCAGAGACTTGGGTTTTCCGGTTTCTGGAAACTCGGTCAGAGTGAGAGCTCTGCCTGCCGCTGCTCCTCCCCGGTGTGAGGGTAGTTTGTTGTGAGCTCGTCGCTGTGATAATCAGATCCGCATGAAGCTGGAGCTGTTCGGTCTGGATCCTCTCTGTGTGTCCGGAGGAAAGTTTGGAAAGAAACGAGACAAGAAGAAAAACTCTGACGGTTAAACCTTCCTACTTTACTTCTCCCTCCCTGACCCGGTGGACCGACTACAGCGGACAAGAACCGGGACTGTGTCGGTTAAACTGAGCCGTGTAGCGGTGCGAGCTGGAGTTTAACACACATTTTCCTTCTCCGTTTGTTCGCCGATGGAAGCGGAAAAACCGCCCTGTTCTCTGAGGTAAAACTTAATTCAGCTCTACTCTGTTGTTTTAGCATCTCACCACAATGAAAGAAAATACAAATGTGAAAATTATTATTGTTATTATTGTTGTTGTTAATATAATTTGGTTGCATTTGTTGCTCCTATTGAAAACAAAAGTGTCATGGAGACACATGAATAACCTTACAACAATGAAGTGTTAAGTGTGAAGTAAAGGTCACGGGGTTTAAAAGTTGCATTTATGTTCATTGTATTCAATCAAATACATATTAATGTCTGTTACTGAATTAATATCTCAAAATTTCCTTCACACTTGTTGCACTATATATCATTTTCACTGTACAAAAATGTAATTAAATTAAAATATCCAGTTCCAGGTGAGCTCACACTAGCTTTATTTCTCTATATTTTGGTAATTTTGGTTGACCTGGGGTTTTTAGTTTGTTTTGCAGCAGTTTCACAAACTAACTATAATGTTGTGGAATAAAGTCTGCACGCTGTACATAAGCGTAAAGCCTTCACATCTGAGTCATTATATTAACAAATACAGTTTAATTATTATCTCTGTACAATGCACATATTGTATACACTTCTTACTTAAAGCATTTGCACACTTCCTCTTATTTGTTTCAAACACTTTATGTCTCTTTAAACTTTTAAAAACAGCCTTTATTTTACATAGTTTAGTGTAATTTTTTATTTTCAATTTTCTATTTGTGGCTTAACTTTATTTTTAGTAGCAGTGGCTTTTTCTTCGTCTTACGTTGCTCATTATTTTGCACCTTAACAGTAAGGAAAAGTCTTTGTAACCCTACTTAGCAAAAAACATGATGCAAATTTTTTGGCATAATACCTATTATGATATGTGACACTATTTCAGTATGATGCTATGATGGGATATAGTCCTTGCAGTAACCTAGAAGCGAAAGCCTATGTTAAATTTAACCTAAAAAAGCTAGAGCACAATTGATGCTGGATTTTGTACATTGCCATTGATGATTTTTAAGGTTCAGTTGCATTGAACTTTTGCAGTCGGGCATTCATTCAACAAAGATCTAAAGGTGTTTTAAACTGAGGTGAGGCTGGGTGGCATTTTGATATTAATCTTGACAATATTCATGATATTTCCATGAGTTTTTAATGATCTTACTACACTTCATGGCATTTTTTAACCCCTAACAATGTGTCCAGAGGGATCTTTTGTGTTGGTGAATTAATTGTGAGTGTGTGTATTGTTTTTATCTTATTATTTTAAAAGTTAATACAGGAATGCCAAACTACTTTGTGTTAAAGGAAAGA